AAGGTGGATGATTTTAATCTGCGGGCCTTAGGCCTGCTTTTAATTATTTTTGGTCAAACATTCTTCTAAGTAGTATAGCAATGGTTTGTCCGTTTGCTGTACAGCAGTAACTTGTGGTTGCTGTGATGCTACACACTATGACATTGACATGTCAAATGTAATAATGGTTACTCATAGTGTACAGTGTTTCATTAAGCTTCCTGATGAAAAGCTTGGAAGCCTGAGTGGCATCCACTTCTGAAATAGCTTGCCTCCTGAATCTCTATGAATGTGGAGAAATGACAGAAGTTATACAATTGTTCAGGTCTTTCTTTCATAGGGTTTCTATGAGTCATCTACAACTCAATGGCACTTAACAACAACAACTTATTCTTAGCAGTGGAATAGCTAGGTCACATAGAATGTTTATGCTCAGCTTTTTATTTAGGAAATGCTAAACAGCCTTCCAGAGTGGTTGCACCATTTTACAATACCACCAACAGTGTATGAGAGTTCCAATCTTACCCCATACTCTCCAACATTTATTGCTTGTTGCCCTGTTAAATTTTGCCACTGCTACTGGAGTGAGATGGTATCTAATTGTGATTTCTATTTGCATCTTTCCTATTACCCGTGATTAAGAACACTTTTCTTGGGTCTGTTGGTCATCTGAAAATCTTCCTCTGTAAAAAGTTTTTCAATGTATTTTTTATCTATTTTATAAATGGGTTATCAGTCTTTTTCTTGCTGAGGCCCTGTAGTATGCTGTAAATTTTCATTATGAGATCCTTGTTTGAAATGTCATTGCCAAATGTTTGTTCTCAGTTGGTAGGTTTTCTTTACAATCTATGAGAAAAAGTTTTTGAAATACACAGTAATTTAATCTTAAGAAATAATTTAATCTTCCATTCATCAATTTTATCCTTTCCTGGTTGTACACTATAGGCTGTATTTGTCAACCTCTTTATACCATAGGTTAGGCCTTCTAAACTTGGTCCCACTTTTTCTCTTATGATCTTTATGGTCTTGGGTTTATTCCTAGGTCTCTGATTCACCTTGAGTTGATTTTTTTATAGTTTGAGAAGTGGATTCTATTTGAGCTGTCTGCAGGGTTTTTTTTTCTGCAAGTCCAGTTTTACCAATACTATTTGTTGAAGATGTTGTCGTGTCCCCATATAGTCAGTTTTATTTCCTTGTTCAATATCAAATGACCATAAATATATTAACTTCTGGATTCTTGATTTGGTTGCATTGGTCTATGTGTCTGTCACTGTATCAGTACATGCTTTTTGGATTATTATTGTTGCATAGTGTTGTTGTTGTTGTTATGTGCCACCGAGTCACTTGCGACTCATAGCAACCCTGTGTGCAACAGCCTTAAACCCTGTTCTATCCTGTGCCAATCTTATTGTGTCTGACACAGCTATCCCCATTACCCCAGTCACTAAATCAATACAGCTCATCAAGGGTCTTCCTCTCCTGTGCTGTCCCTCCACACTCCTGAGCATGACATCTCTCTCCAATTACTGATCCCGCCTTACAACACGTCCAAAGTATGTCAGACAAAGCTTCAGAATCCTTGTCTCCAAAGAGCAGCCTGGCTTCATTCTCTCGATGACGAACTTGTTTGTTCTCCTAGCAGTCAAAATTCTTCTCCAGCACCATAGCTCAAAGGCATCAATTCTCCTTCTATCATCCCTACTCATTGTTAAGCTCCCTGATGCATACCAAGTAATTGTAAAGACCTGTATCAGGCGCATCTTAGTCTCCAGACTGACATTGTTGCTCTTCAATGCTGTCAGGAGAGGTCCCTGACAGATGACTTCCCCAATAAAATGTGAGTCTTGATTTCCCAGCTGCTAATACCAAGAGTGTTGATTGTAGAGCCAAGCAAACTGAAGCTGTTAACAATATCAGTCTCCTCACCATCTATCCTGATGTTGCCAATTGGCCTAGTGGTGCGAATCTTTGTTTTCTTGAAGTTGAGATTCAAGTTTTGAAATCAGACAGTGTTAAGACTCTAATTCAATTTTTTTTCAAAAGTTCTTTGCTTATTCAGGATCTCTTTCCTTTCCAAATAAACTTGACAATTGCCTTTTCTATCACTTTAAAAAATGAATTTGGTATCTGTATTGGAATGGTATTAAACTTATAGATTGCTTTTGTTAGGATTGTCATTTTCTCTATATTGAGTCTTCCTAACTATGAGCAGGGAACATTTTTACCCATTTATTTCAGTATTTTATTGTTTTGTTCAGAAGTATTTTGTAGTTTTCTATGTAAATGTCTTTTGTATCTCTAGATAGGTTTATTTCTTAAGTATTTTAATCTGTGAGTGGCATCCACCTCCTAAACAACATGCCTCCAGAAAGTCTATGAACTTTGATAAATGTCAATACATTGTAGAGGGGCTTCACGCCTTTTGTTCATATTGTAGCTATAATTCGTGCTTGATTCAAAGGCAGTCAAGATACACACACACACACACACACACACACACACACAAACACACATACATTTTACTGTAAATGGTATAGCTTTCTTATTTTTCTTCTCTGTGTTTTCCTTGTTACTGTAAAGGAGTCTGACTTACTTTTTTAGTATTGATCTTGTATCCTGTGATTGCTACAAAAGTGGTCCACTACCTCTAACAGGGTTTTTTTTGTTGTTGTTGTTGTTGTTGAGTCTTTGGGGCTTTCTGTGTACACTAAATATCATCTGCATAAAGTAGCAATTTAATTACCTCTTTGATAATTTTGATAATCTGGATACCTCTTATTTCCTTCTCTTGTCATAGTTCCCTAACAAATACTTCACAATACAAAATTAAATAGAAGTGATAAAGGGGGACATCCTTGTCTGGCCCCTGTTCACAAGTAGAGTGCATTTTAGTCTTTCACCATTGAGAATGCTATTGGCTCTTGGCTTTGCATATATACTTTTCATTATGTTGAAGCAATTCCTTTCTATTTTGATTTTGCTGAGGGTTTTAATCAGGAAGGGGTGTTTGATTTTGTCTAAGGCCTTTTCTCTATCAATTTCTAAGAAATTCCCTTGGGTTCTTATTATTCCCTTCATTAATGTGGTGCTTTACACTGATTTCTTTTATAGTAAACCATCTTTGCATATCTGTTAGGAAACCTACTTAGTGATGATGAATTATTTTTTTTGACGTGCTGTTGGATTCTACTGGCCAGGATTTTGTTAAGGATTTTTTCATGTTCATGAGAGATATTGATCTGTAGTTTTCTTTTTGGTAATATTTTTGTTTGGCTTTGATATTAGAGTTATGTTTGCTCCATAGAATGAATTCTGGGCATGTTCATTATATTTCCATTTTTTGAAAAAATTTTAGTAGAACTGACAATAGGTTTTCCTTGAATTTTTGTACCATTTAGCCATGAAACCATTGGGTCTAGGACTATTTTTTGCGAGAGTCTTTTTATGATCTGCTCAATTTCTTCTATTATGATGGGTCTGTCCAAGTGTTCTACATCTGTCCATGTCTATTTGGACAGAGCATTATTTTCAAGGAATTTGTCCATTTCCTCTAGGTTTTCTAATTTATCAGTGTATAAATACAATATTTTGATTTTATAGATTTACTTTTATAAAATTTAAGTTCATAATGTTTTGTTTAGATTTTGCATTTCTGGTTGTATTTTCCAGTCTCTTTATATCTTGGACTAGCACTTGTAAGCTTGATCCCAGATGCCTTTGAGCTGTGGTGTTGGAGAAGAGTGTTTGATATACCATGGACTGCTAAGAGAATAAACTGGTTCATCCTGGAGAAGGTGTAATCAGGATGCTCCTTGGAGGCAAGGACTCTGAGGCTCCATCTGACAAACTTTGGGCATGTTGCAAGGAGGAACCAGTCCTTCAGAGGGATGACATGCTTGGGAGGGTGGAAGGACAGTGCAGGAAGAGAAGACCCTCCTCTGGAGGATGAGATGGATTGATTAAAGACTGGAGTTATGGGGGTAGTTGTGTCAGAGACAATAAGATTAGTCCAGGATAAAACAGGATTTAGGGATGTTGTACATAGGGTTGCTGTAAGTCACAGATGACAGCATGTAACAACAACAACATCAACATCAAGAAAACAAAAGTGCTCATCATTAGACACCATCATGATAGACATCATGATAGAGAAAAGACTAAAGTAGTCAATTACTTAACTTTCTTTAAAATAAAAATCAACACTCATGGAAACAGACACACACACAAGCTCGGAAATTAATAAGGAAGAATGAAGAATTGATGCACTTGAATTGCGATGTTTGCAAAGAGTACTGAATATACTATGAACAGCCAAAATCACAAGAAGAAGTGCAGCTAGGGTGCTGCTTAAAGGTAAAGAAAGGGAAACATATCACCTATTTTGAGCAAGCTATTAGGAAACACTAGTCCTTGGTTACAGACACCATGCATGGACAAGTAAATGGTCAGGGAATGAGGGGAAGATCTTTAACCATTAGATTAAGAGTGGCTATGAAAATAAGTTTGAGGATAGCAAAGATTGTGAAGATTGTGTAGGATAGGACAAGATTTTTATTTGTTGTTCATTGGATTGCTATAAATCGTAGTTGGCCTGATGGCACCTAATAACAATAATACATCCAAATTAATACATATTTATCAAGTAATCATCATTTTCTTTCCCTTCCTAATTCAAATATCTTTGGAGAAAATTACTGAATACCTGTACTTTAACAAGGCAGAATTAATTCCCTGCTTTGTTCCTATGGTATGGAAACGCCATCTTTATGGAATCTGTACTCTTATATATGTGAACCAATTAGGTAAATCTAGTCCTGGTATGCTAGTTTTAATGGTTCACATGACAAGTTATAATAGTGATAATGTTATAAATAGTATATGTATAACATTTTCCCTTCTAATGTCCATTACATCTCATAAATGTTTCATAATTCGTACACAGAGACAATTTCATTAACTTTAATAATCTCACTGAGAAATTCATGGTTAGTGATGCCTGAAATTGTGGGTGGCAGGCCTACCTGAGCCCATACAGCACCGTCCCATCAGGGTGCAGGCGGATCATGCGGTTCTTCACTGTCACCCCATGCACAAATGACTTTTTGTCATTTAAAAAGTATGTGTCAGGCACCCAGAGTTGGTCAGCCACTCGGTTGTCCAGTGTGAGGTTGAGAGGGATCCCAGAATAAGCAAGCCTCTTGTCTCTCCAATATTGTTGGAAATACATGGTTAAGGTATAGTCCTAAAAAGAGAAAAAAAATACATCAAGGTGTGTTTCCACAATGGGTTCCCAAAGCCAGTTTGGAATCTTAGTACTTCAGTCAGTTCCCAGGAAAGGCAAAGGCCATTTGTTGAAAGCATAAAAAGCAATGGTACCTTTCTCATGAATTATAGATACCAGCCCTCATAGATGTATCTCAGGTGTACATAAATTGTCTTATTATGTAAGTAGGAGCTAGATTAGATAAGTATTATTCAAAAGATAACCAGATAGAATAAAGGCCAAGATATGTCATAAAATCATAAAAAGATAAATACTCTAAAAACAAGTATAAAATAAAGTAAAAAAAATCACTATTAATAAGAACTACAGAAAAGCTTACTTATATATGGAGAGAATCAATTTAGTAAGTTTACTGGAAGGGAGGAGAGGAGAAAATTAAAGGATATATAGCGAACATGATTTCAATGAGTGAAGGGAAAAACAATGTGGAAAGAGTGAAAAATAAGGCATTGTGTATACTGTAGCAATGTTGTGCAACAAAACAGGTACGATGATTGACTGAAACATAAACACATTGTATGCTTTGTAAACTTGTACGCAAATCAATAGAAATATTCTTTAAAAAAATTAGGCTGCTGCCCAAGCCAAAAGTAGACCTTCATCTATCACCGTGCAGATACTGAAGAAATATGAGGTTTATCCAAAATCCTCCTCTCTGTGTCCTTGCAGTGTGAACCTATGTGGCTAGAAATAAGCATCTTGAGGAGAATAATGGTTTGTGGAATCTCTGACATAGTCTTCATATTTTCTTTCATTCTCATGTGCTACGATTACGTCCACACTTATCAGGCAATTGTATCTGTTGGAGATGGAAAGGTTAGCAATATGGTTAAAAAAGAAGCCTAAGAAAGGGATTTTCTGTTGCTCTGGAAATCTCCAAGAGGATCTTTTTCTCCCTCACCAACCCAGGAAAATTGGCAAAATGATAGATGTGCCATTAATGTGCTGAAATGGAATAATATTGCTGTTGTTGGTGGTGTTATGTGCCGTTGAGTCGCCTGCGACTCATAGCGACCCTATGTACAACAGCCCTAAACTCCACTCTGT